GGCTGCGCAATGTGAATGACCTACCACCACTGGCCGTCGAGAGAGGTCGCGAAGGTGTGACCGATACAGGAGCTAGAAATGGTAATATACGGCAACTTAAATACTATCCTTTCAGTCTGTTTGGTAGACCAGTAGTTCTCTACACGATACCACTTCTGATTTCAGGCTTCATTGGATACGCAGAAGATATCTACAGGGAAAGACTGGTAGCCTTCCAGAGAGGCGAAAGTCCAACGCGAAAAGTGAGTTCTGATGATTTAAAAGATATGCAATTATGTTTTCGTAGCCTGTTTGGTTTCCTAAGATGCAACATTTTCTGGCTTTAGCTTCTATTGCCAAATCCTTCAAACTCGAGTTCAAGTATCAGTTGTCTGGGTGGCCGACCAACACCCGCCAACCAGTTCGGCTCCATATCTCCCTTTGAGCAGAACCGAGGAGGATGCATGACCATGGAGCCCGAGCAGTTTCTTGACCAACAAAATGGAAGCAACGGATGCGATGGTTGGCTCAAAGTGGCCAATCACCAACGAAAGCAGCAACGCACTTCGCTATCCTCTGACTGCATAGTCTGAAGTGGTTTTGTCTTTTTCTTCTTCTTCTCCTCCCCCTCCTCCACCGGAGCACTGTCTCTATTACCAATACTGCACCTGCTCTTGCCAAATAGCACTCTTTTACTAGCATGCTCACCCTTTTTCCTGTCATCAATATAATACTGATCATGCACCTGTGTATCGCTACTCCATACCAATAAAAGCCTTTTCACTGAAAACGGATAGATTGGAATTGTTTTCAGCACCCAACTACCGAGCATCCATGGCGCCAAAACGAGAGTTGTTCCGGTCGGAAGGGACGTGAATGAGTTTATTGTGTCTCCGATCCCACAGCGAAGCAAACTATCAGTCGTCGAAAAGCTTCGAGTTTATGCAATTATGTAACGATATTGATACAAGTTCAATTACTTATTCCTGTTTTTGGTACATTATCAAAGCCCTAGTTGCAGACGACTGTTGTCTGGCTTCTCAACGTGTTTTTGAGGGTAGTATGAAGGGCATTGTTATGAAGATAGTCTAATTTAAGACTATATCTGGTCTTAATGATGGAACATAGCAAATATTCATGGTAAGATTTGTTGCCTAATGGTAATAATCATTAGTATTGGTAGTTAAACTTCTGTAAAAATTCCATTCCAACGCGAATGGACTAAAGTGTAACGTCACAAATTCACACTACGCTAAATGAGACCAGCAGACTTTTATGCGCCATAATAATATGATAAGCTGAAAAGCCGATTTGGCAAACATATATCTTCAGCAACTCTTCATCAGGCCAGTACATTTGCAGGGAAAATGAAAATTTTACAGTTGGACAGGCTTGATAAGTGTATGTACGTTGATTACAACTCGTCATTGTCATGTCGCCCGCATGGCGAGATCGGCGCGTAGAGGTCCCAGTTCTGGGAGAGGGGGAAGAGGGGGGAGGAAATTTGGTCAGGTTGTGGGCATTGGTCAGGGGTCAGGTACATGGAGTAATTGTTACTGTCATTTGTCCGGAGCGAACGACTGTCACTAGGGTGTGGGGGCGATATGCGATCCCCGCAAATGTACTGGCTAGATGAAGAGTTGCTGAAAACATATGTTTGCCAAAACGACTTTTAAAATGAAACATGGGACTATTTGCTTGAATAATGTGATAAGCAAAACTATATCCAGTGCCGGAGGAATGGTAGAAAAATGTGGCAAGCAGGGCACGTTAATGCCCAAAGCAAATTAGGTTTCCTTATTTGTTTGGGTCCTCAAGTGAAAACTAGGTCAGAGCAGCCGCTCCTTTAACCAGAGTGAACGTTTTGTACACGGTTGTGGACTCAATAAATGCATAGTGCCTAAATTGCTTCAAGTATGAATGCGGATTTGGAGTTACAGGTTTTTTTTCACGAGTAAATACGAAGCCTAGTCGGACACCGGAAAAATTTGCTGATTTTTCATGTAGGAGTTCATTCTAAAAATTATTAGCAGCAACAGAGAAAAGGCTGAACTGTGGGCGCAAAAACCAGTGAGTGATCAATGGCATAAGCCTGAAGGTGACGGCGCAGGGTTTTGTATGCCAGCGCAAGATCGATATATCGATTGACTGCGTCCCATCTGAGGCCCAGGTCAAGTCTCGGCTCGTCTTGCCTTCTGTGTAGGCGATGGTCTTAACGAACTTGTGGCCCGGTGTATAATTGTGGGCAGCTACATGCGATAATACGTCCCACATCCGTCCCACACCAAGCTTCTGTTTACGTATGCGTGACCTGAACATGCATTAAGCCTGACAACTTAGGCATGGAATGCGATACACGACTTCAGATTTCTATTTGGGATTTAGTCGGTCTTTGATTCTCATGGCGCCTAGTTCTGAGACGTCTTTACTGTATGAAACAGTCTGTCATATTCTTGGTGGTGTTGCTGCTTGTGTATCATGGCATCGAATGCGTAGGCATCAGCTTATAAACGACTTCGGCAAGTGTTAGCAAGCCGTCATATTCCGAACGATAGAGAGAGAGGCTGACATTGTGACTTTAGCTACCTAGTAGATAGATCTCCTTCGGGAGTTCTGAGGGTTTAATTTGTGCCCATTTAGGCATTGGGGTCAAAGCACTATATTTGGGTCATGTGCTTAAAATCAGTCCGTTGTCTTCGGCCATACTTCAACTCTAGGAAAATGTGACCTAAGATGTAATCAGTTGCCAGTTCAAACTAAGCCTGAAATTATCGTTCCAGTCTACCTGTCCTTGTCGGTACTAGCTATAGATTAGGGCCAATTCTAGGCTAGAAATTTGAGGAGATGTAG